GGAAATAATAGGAAATACATAATATTATCAATTTTGACCAAAAAAACAAAAGTAGACAAATACTCTAGAACAGAGGAGTAATTAATATGAAGTAATAATAATAACTAGTGGTATTTTTTAAAAAAGTATAGAAGTAAAATTACTAATTAATTGCTTAAAATAAATAATAGTATTAATAATAAGTGTTATTTTATAATAAGTGCTATTTTTCTAAATAACAATTAGTGTTTTTATAGAAAAGGGTGGTAAAACTAACAATTAATTTTTAATAATAATAGTAATAATAATAAATCAAAAAATTAATAATAATAATAGAATAAGAAAATAATAATTATGAAGTAATTAATTATAATAATTATTAACAAATAATAATAATTATAATAGAAGAAGAAAAAACAAAAGAAAAGGTAAAAGAAGAAAAAAAACGGGGGTGGGAGAGGAATGAAGGTCACTGGAACTCTGGAAGGCAGGAGAAAGAAGAAGAAAAGAAGAAAAGAGGAAGAAGAAGAAAAGAATGGGACCTGCCAGTCTTTATCCGAAAATAAGGGGTACCTGGCAGCAATTTTTTGAGAAGAGGAGGAGGAGGGTAACGGAGAAGAAATGTTAACGGAGAGAATGACGGATTGTCACCCCGGAGTCAGTTTTCGAATATCTTAAGGTACCTCGGAGTATATTTTGAAAAACAATGGGACCTGCTAGTCTTTATCCCAAAATTAGGGGTACCCCGCAGCAATTTTTTGCAGTTGAAAGGGGATAAGCAAAGAGATTCCAAATGTTGTTTAGTAGAAGAAGCAAAATGGGATGGACGTAAAAGTGCAGAAGAGTTATGGTGTGATATGATAGATACTATAGAAATCATCCTAAATAGGACTAAAATATAGAGAAATGTATCAAAATAGAAGTTTCATTTTTTTTCTGAAATAAAACTTCACACTGTGGTAATGTGGTTGTAATGTGGCACGTACATGTGCACATTACTATACTTTTTGGTAATGGACATGACCATGTTTGGTAATGTAAATACATTTTAAGTCCTATTTCGGGAATAAAAACATGGAAGTCCAATTTTAGTATATTTTCAATGTTTTAGTCCTTTTTTGATCTTTCTCCCTAGATATTATAAGCCAAGTGGCAAAAGAAACCTTGGGAGAAATTAGAGGCACTAATTCAAGTGACAAAGAATGATGATGGTGGAGCTAGTGTGTAAGAGACGGTAAAGGTAAAATGAGAATATTTCAAGGAGTAGTCTTCATGACGTAATTTGAAAAGTTGGGATAGGTATAAGACGGCCCAGAAAGAGACAAAAGTACCATCAAAAGTAGCAAGAATGAGAGCATATGAAGAGTTTTACTAGTCGTGGGTATGAAAGAATGGGAAATATGCATTTACAAAAACGCTAAGGTTAGAGAAAGAAGGATACGAGATTTGGAACAAGTTAAGTGCATTAAAGATAAAAATCGTAAAATTTTAGTCTTCGATGAAAGTATAAATGAGTGGTGGAAGAGCTACTCCAATAATCTGTTTAATGAGGAGCAACACATATCTCTCATGCTCGTTTGGCTATACACAACGGAGAATCACCAAAACTTGAATTCTTATCGAAAAATTCAAGAAATTGAAGTTGAGCATGCTCTAAAACGGATGGATAATAGCATAGTAAGTGGCCCAGACAATACTCTTTTAGAAAGATTTAGGAGGAAAATACATTGGATTATGCTATGTGTATCCCAAGGTTTGTACCCCAATTTGTACCCCGCAGTTTTGCACCAACACTTTGTGTTGGTGTAAAACTAATTTTTGTTAAATGCACCAACATTTGTGTCCGTGTGAATTTTTATTAACGCACCAACACTTGTGTCGGTGTAAACCATCGAAATGTTTGTGCAAACCTATGCTGTACAAATGGGGTATATTTTTTGGAGTAAGTGTAGCATGGTCCAAATACATTTGGTGATTAAGTAAGCTTTTTAATCAATATTTAAGATCTAAGAAGATGCCTAACGAATTGAGAAAGAACATTTTGGTACTTATTTACAAGATTAAGGAGGATATTCAGAGTTGTGGAAACTACAAAGGAATCAAGCTCATCAGGCATATGATGATGTTGTACTCCTTTCGTCCTGGAGTATCTGTCCACTTTTGTCTCTTTTTAATCAAAATTGGTAAATTTTAACCTTAAATTAAATAAAAATGATACTCCATTGATACAAAACTAATTTAATTACATTTATTATATAAAATATTTTCAAAATATTATTTTACAGCTTCATGAAAATCAATTTTTGAAAATATTCCAAAAGGATGGAAGGAGTATAATCTTTTAGGAATCAAGAGCAGATATTTGTGAAAATATTCCAAAAGGATGGAACTTCGTGAAAATCAAGCACAGATCTTTTAGGATGGATGGAGTATATCAGCATAATCTACTCGTATTAATCTAGAAGCAAACAAATACACTCTACGCGAGAGAAAAAAGAACCTTTTACGCTCTACACCCATGCCAAATTGTCCAAATGACAGATAATCCAAACTGTTTAAAGTAATCTTAGAGATGCATGGGGATGGGGTCATGGGGATTTGAAGTTTAAGAAGGAATAAGATAAATTGAGGGGAGGTTCAATGAATATCTAATTCGCCATAACAGAGCAACTAAAAATAAATTCAAACAAAACGAGATGAATCAATAAGAATCTGTAACAGAACTAAGAAACAATTTGATACAAGGTGAGGATGGGTGAGGAAGTAAAATAGAGAACGGGTGAAGAAGCAATTGAATAACAAAAAATCCTAGAGCAAGAAATATGAACGGAAGTGAACAATAGGTGAACACCAGTGAAGATGGAGATCAAAGACTTGGAGTGACTAACGTGGGAGAAGACTGAGAGATTATAAATGGCTGGAGCTTACAGATGAGGCTGTTTTGGTTTGAGCACACCCCTATTTTTTTTTCAACCATCCAGGAAAAAAAAGGAGAGCCTAGGAATATATCAGATCATTTTTTCTCCGCAAACTGGAGGGAATAGTTTTCTGTCGAAAGTAAAATTTGAAGTAACTAAACGAAGGAAAGTAATGCACGTAGATAACCCCAAAAAAGAAACTTTTCTCCCAGCAAGCAAACATCTTGCAGCGTGTCCAAATGGTTGGAAAGAGATAACTATACATTAAAGTCTAGTGGTAAAACAAGGGCACTTATCAATGGTTGGCACCGCATATCCATGTAAAACATGAAAAATGCAGCTTTATATCATTGTGTATTCTAACATCTAAGTAGTACCAGTTTACAACAACAACAAGCCCCATGCAATCCCGCAAATGGGGTCACCAAGGGTAAGATGTAGATGAAGTGGTGTAGGCCAACCTTACCTCTACCCATGAGGGGGGTGGAAAGGGTGTTTCTGTAGCCTCAGCTCAAAGGGGTTCTAACTTCAAGTTGTATAAGAATACAAAGCATAATAAGGGGTCAGGAATAGCACAGTACTTCACAAAAGTTATTTCACTTGTGCATAAATGTTTATACGAGTACTCAAGCAGTTTTATAAAAGTAGAGATTAGGGGCGTGTTTGGGTGGAGGGGATTGAGGGAAGGAAGGGAAAATGCTCCCGTCCCACTTGGCTAACAAAATGGAGGGTGGGGGAGCCAAAATCCCCCTATCTTCTCCATACACTTCTACACTCCATATAACCCCCATTTCCATCCCTCCATTGTGTTCCAACAAACAAAAGAAGGTAGCATTGGTAAAAAAACCTCCCCCCCCCAAGGAACCAAAGTTACCAAACACACCTGAAGTTATTGAGCAGCAAACATAAACAAAGATATGAGGTACAAAACTATAGTATGAAAAATACAAATATGAAGGACAAACAGGAATCAC